TCATGATGCTCTCTTTTGAGACCACTAGAAAAAACCAGTCTTCGCTGTTAGGTAAAATCGTCAAACGACAATAATACTAACACTCGCAGGCACGCCGCCTCTCGCAGGCTGTCGCGAGTCAAAACAATGGAAAACGTGAAGCAGGAGAAGGAGGCGAAGAGCACGAGGGGGAGGAAAAGAGGGATGACGATGAGAAGGCTGAAGTTAGCAAGCATACAAAATGGAGCGAAGCTTGTCGCGACTCGGGTCAAGCGAAGCTTCAAACTCAAGATGATATGGGGGGGTGCCCCCAGGATCCCGTGGGTACGCAACTTTGATCGCTGAGCTGGTGCAAAGCGATTGCGAATGTCAAGTCCAACTGACCCGCAGGTCAGGTCAGGTCTCTTTCCGCAATATCAGGTCCTACTTCCGCCCGCAGTAGAATGTCAGGCGGAGAGGCTTCAGAAGAGCATGCAGGACTCGACGATGGCCCTGAGTCCTCTGGTCGTGAGCTGCTGCCACAGGCGTACTCGTTCATTCGCGCAGCAAGTCTTGCGTGTCCTCCACGCGCACTGGCTGGTTGGATGCGCGGCTGCGGGAGACACCGACGAGCGCACCCAGAGCGACAAGTGCGGACGCCAGTCCGAGCGGCACTGACACCGCCACCGACGCCTTGCCGAGCTCCGAGGTCGGCCCCGCCTCCGGAGCGGCGTCGTGCAAGCGAAGCCTCGTTGGGCAGGTGTCGGTGTTGTCGGCGCCGGTGCACTGGGAGCACTCGGAGACGAGCATGTCCTTCGGAGAGTTCACGGCCGCCGCGTTGTTGTCGTTGGAGCCGAAGTCCTTCTTGCTCTCCTCGCACCAATACCTGAACCTCTCAAGGCAGCTCACGGTCTCGCAGGTGACTCCAAACTTTCGGTTGATCCAGGTTGGTCAGTTGTCTTCCAGTGGATTCCGGTAGGGTCAGTGTCGGATGTGCAGCACCCGTGCGGGACCTGGGTGCCTTGGCTTTGGCTAACTATGCTCTGGCCCTTTAAACTCTTGGTTCACGAGCGTGGCATATTGCCGACACTCGGCCTCCGTCACATCACGCCACTCGCCGGCTGGAGCCATGTCCTTGCACAAGGGATTTGACGCTGCGTCTCCTGACTCTGACGCTGGTGCAACCTCTTTGTAGTCCGATAGCTGCTGCGCGAACACTGTAGTCAACATGCCCGCGAGCGAAAACACTCTCGCCATGAAGGCCACGGTTGCGCGAAGGGCAAAGCGCGAGGATGTAAGGAGGGAGGCAGAAAATGAACCCTGCTTCGAGCAAGTCGACTTCAACCAAAACTGCGAATTACGGATGCTGATGTAGACATCATGTGAGCGCAACCGGCGGCTGTCTGCCAGGCTGTGAGGAAGTCGGAAATCCAATAACTTTGAGGAAGGCTCAAAACACCGAACCGATTCGGCCGAACCGAACCGGGCCGAACCGAACTGGCGCGAACCGCACTTTTTATCAACAAAAACCGAACCGGACCGGAACCGAACGATCCAATTTTGAACCGAACCGAACCGAACCGGAATCGATTTCGAACCGAACCGGGCCGACCCGGATGGAACCGCCACGAACCGGAGGTCTCCAAGGCCCTGATTTCGCAAGTCTCGAGGCCGTTCGGCCCCGAGGCCCCTCGGGGCCCCGACTTTGCGAGTCCCCGGAGGCCCAGAGAGGCCCCCCGGGGCCCTGATTTTGCAAGTCAATTGTTAAGGATGCATTTTGCAAGTCCCGGAGGCAATTTTGCAAACCCCGGATGCCATTTTGCAAGTCCCCGAAGCCATTTGGCAAGCCGTTAGATGTTGGTATTGATAGTGGGAGATGTATCTTAGTTGTAAGGGCCTCAAATCATCTAGCATCATCTTGCATCATATCGCAGCGTCGCACAACATCCTAAATCTTCGTCGATCATCTTCGCGCTCCACCCCCGATTCTGGGGCGCGATCCCGCAGATGCGACCTCGCATGGACACTCTCCGCGAAGGCACTGGCAAAAAGAACATCCCGACATCCCACGGGGCGCGGACCAGGGGGTCCCGGCCCGCGAGGCCGTGGATACGAATACTCTTGATGTTTTCAGTACCGAAGGGGCCCCAGGCACACAAATAAATACACACACATACAAAAAATCCCCACATTTTTCCCCCATATTTCCTGGGGAACGAAGATTAATTGTGTCTGTGTGTTTCTTTTCCTCCTGAACTTTTTCCGCCAATTATTAAGAAGAAACATCTCCATCCATCCCCTCCAGCCGCTGTGCTCCGCCGCCCCCCAAAAGAAAAAAAAAAAAAAGAAAAAAAAAAAAAAAAAGAAAAATAGAAATAAAAAAAAAAAGAAAAAAGACTAACTACCGCAGCGGCACAAGCCGAAACCTCCAGAGGCCCGTGCGGAGTTCTCGGATCTGCGGCGAATCCCCCTCCCCTGGAGGCGCGGAGCGCGCCAGGGGTGGCACCAAGAGGCGCCGACGCGGGGGTCGAGCGCGAATCCA